CAGAACTACTAAACATGGTGTTTTTGAAATGGATTCCATGGTAACCCAAACTGCTTATGCTGTTGATACAATCAGTGTATGTGTTTGAGTCTCCTGTGGGAAACATTAGTGAAGTCAGTGAGGATATCTGATGTACTTGTTTATTTTTTAAAGATGACTAAACATAACTAAAATACATATCCATCTGCTGAGGACATTTCTGTTTGTGTCTAATTGTGGGCTTTGCTTCATCTGTGTCAGTGTGCTCAGATTCAGTATTTTGCTGCTTTGACCTGTAGGAGGCACCGGTCAGTCCAACTGAGGAAGCTCAGCGACGCCTGATGAAGATCTTTGGCGTCCCTGTAAATAAACAGATAATATTGCCTTTGAATTTTCCGTGTTTGTACATGTACACATCAAAAAAATCTAACCAGCATTATTCACTTCCCCCATGGTCTAAAGCAGTTTGACGATTAGGCAAGTTAAAGCACCGATGGAAAGGGGTGGCTCTTTTTACACTTCACATTTGTGCATGTGGCAATAACACAGTGTGCTGGTATGAAGCAACTGGTGGTGAAAACTGTCATGCCATGTAAAGTAAGGGACGGTTAACCCTGTAGCAAAAAAGTAAAGAGCCCATTATTGCTGTCATAATTTCGTAAATGCCAGGTGTTACCTCTACATATAGTGTGCTGGCACAGGAGTACAGCAGTTTTCTTGAGAAAGTCTCAAGCTGTTGCAACATCTCCTTCTTTATAATCTGAAGCCCTGTGATCCTCTGCACTGATATCTCATTGAAATGGCAGTAAAAACTGACACAATCATGTCTTCAGCCTGGCTGTGCAACCGGTAAAAGGCTCCAAAAAAAGCATAGAGATGCTTCAAGTGGTGCTCCCATTGATTATTGATTATTTACTGCTTTGCCAGTGGCGTCATTGAGTCAGTGGTGTTAAAGAGAAAAACTATTTCACCAAAGGGAATTCAGAATAGCTGAAATGGTTGATTTAAAGTCATGAAACAGCTTAGTTTAAAAACAGCTGTTTTTAAAAGTTGCTCTCTGAAAGCTGCTAAATTTATTCAGTTAAATTCTGTTGTTTTTATTTATCACCAAAAACTATGATGCAACGGTTGTTGTGATTAACTGGTCTAATGTTACATAGTCTTGCATCTCTACACGCTGCCCACTCAGTCACTTTGGTAAACTCCACTTATGTGCCAGCTAATAGAAAATATTCCCCTAAAGACAGCGAGTCAGTACCATGACGACATGGAAGTTTTTTTTATCTCTCCTGTTCATATTGAATTCTGGATCTTTGATGAAATGTTAATTAACCTTCAAATGCACTCTTGCAGTTATAACGATCTGTGTTGCACAAGGTCAGGTTAAGTTAAGCAATGGAAACTAAGTCTGTCAGCAGGGTTTGGAAAAAATCAGCAAATTCTGAGCTTTAGCTAACTAGTTCTGCTGCCTATGTTTTTTCTTGTGCTGTAGTCTTTTTTTAACATCTCAGAAATGTTCCCCTTCCTTTCTAATTTAATAATAACTTCACCAAAGCTGTTAGCATACATCACTATGTATCGCGTTGATCATCATTCCACTCTCACAATTTTTTTGCAGCAGTTTCCCTTACTACTGTGTTGCTCATTACCCTGACAATAAAAACTTGTACTTTATTAAAATTATATTTCAAAACTGGAAAAATTACTGGAAACCTTGAAAATTGGGCTGCCCTGATGAACATGAATTGGGCCCACATTTCTTCTTGACTTCTGATGCAATGTCAAATTCTGTTACCTTTAAATTCAGTCATTTTGCTGGAGCTGCTAGAGCTGTGGACACTACAGAAACACCCACTTATGGATTTTGTTATAGACTTGACAGGTTTCAGAGAGAGTTCTGCTTAAGACATTCCTGTGGAATGAAGCTCAAATTATATCTCGCTAGTTAGTTTTGTAGCACATTCCCTTTCATGAGTGATATAACCAACTTCTCACAATTAGCCAATAACTGGATTTGTTTGAACTGACTACATTCTCATTAGATAGGGGAATTATTTCAATGCCATGGTTACTCATTGTAAAGCCATTTTCCCTTTTCCATTGCCACTCAAATGTTCATGCACTTCTTGTTGCTTTCATGGGCTGTATCCCAATTCAGGGTCTGCAGCCTTAAAGTACGCAGCCTCAACGATCCTCAAGGGCTGCGTACTCAAAGGCCGCTAAGGCCAGAAGTGCGAGGCTTGTGAAATGGGACGGTCTAGCCTCCGTTGCGCTGCCCAGGTTGCCTAGCAACCATGATACTAACAGCTGGAAACGTTTCATACAGCTTTGTTTGACAGAAACGAAGGAGAAAATCTTTTGTTCATTTGTTTGTTTGTTTCTACATGAGCTTTGATCATTCTCTGTAAGATTGAGCTCAGCTTTTGAACGGCGTATATTTTAAAGTAAAGGCTTTAAAACCAAGTTAGTACAAACTTCACTAATGTCGCATAACTTTGCCGACATGTGGCCAACAGGAATGTTTAATGTTCTTCGTTATTAAGCATTTCCACATAAATAAGTTACATAATATTCATCACTTAGTTTACTAAGTTACTCTTCGGGCGCCCCTCATCCGCCGTTTTTTTTCGGCAAAATTATCCACACCCACCGCCGCGCTATGCATTCTGGGATATGTTGGGCCACGAAGTCCACACTGCCACATCCTTAAAATTCAGGGAAATGAAGGATGCATTTGAGGGCCGCATTTCGAGCAGCCTCGAATTGGGACAGCCTTCGTCACGTCGCTGTGACGTAATCGGCCTTTAAGGCTGCAGACCCTGAATTGGGATACAGCCATGTTCTGCAATATTTTCATCTGAATTTCCATGTTGACTGTGTCTTCTGTGTTCTTCCCCTCATTCCCTGTCTTTCTCTCCATGCTTTACTCACACTGCTTTTGCTGGTTGTCTCTGTGGCTAGCTGGAGCCAGCAGTCAGTGTTTCATCTTCTGTTGAGGCGCTCGTGTCTGCACCCCTGCAGGCTCAGGGCACCCTCCATGCACCACAGACCTGCATTTCCCTGGGGCTCCTATCTGGAATTTGTACTCATTTGACATGTGAGAATGTAAGGCCCAAAATCCTTTTCATTTCCTCAATTTCCCCCATTTGAAGTATTGTATTGAACTAAATTGAATTGAATTTTATTTCTGTAGTGCCAAATCACAACAACAGTTGCTTCAAGGTGCTATTGACAGTTAAACTCCACAAAACTCCACATACGCTTAATATGTTTGGTTTTGTTAG